ATTACAACTGTATTATGGGATGCTGCACACTAGTTCATGAATGGGTCCAATGAACAACTGTTGTTTCCGAAAATTCAATGCAAATTTAATATGTAGTGTTCACGTAGGTATGGGTCACTAGCATTTTCTTATCACAGCTTTTGCTGAAATTTGCTCCTCACTCAAAGATAGGCCCTTTATGATCAATTTATCCCGACGTTACCTGTTTTGTCATTGGGGCTAGTCTTGCGGAGAGTTCTCAAAGCATCTTGTATCAAAGCAATACTAATCGAGCAATTAACCGAGCAATTGTTCCAAAAAATCATGTCTTTATCTAAAATATCCCAGCAATATAGAAAAGTTATAAACGCAGTTTGATTAGCAGCAAGTTTGAGAGTGACTTTCCCCACAGAATTATACCATTAATTCGACTTGGGACGTAATCAGTTAAGATTCTAAAAGCTGCATCGTTGAAATTCTAAATATCCCCAATAACCCTACACACATTCTTCAAATTCTCCAAACTAGAAGGTCTATGCACAAAAGTTAGGCTCAGAAATAACCTAATTCATGGCTCTGCAGAGCTTTCGTTACAGGAAAAAATCCTCTAGTTGGTAAGCAGATATTCTAAGGAACATTCTCAACTGTGGCCTGCCCTTGCCCCACTTCTCCTGCCTTTGCCTTCACAAAATTTTTTTCATAGCATAAGAGTGATAGGCTCCAATTCACCAAACTCATTTAAACCTGCAAAATCTTTGCTTTGCTCTATTCGTAACCTTCTGCCCCGTCTTCAGAGGAGGAAAAATAACCTCCTTGACGTATTCTCTACGAAACGCCCGAGTGAATCTCGTTCACGAAAAAATTCTGATTAGTTCATTTAAGCCAAGTAGAACATTAGTGACATACCATTAACTTTTGGGCAGTGTGCGTACAAGTTTGTGTATGGCATCCTTAGGCTATCTGCATTTACCGTATACTTCATTAGATCGGCTGGTTCTGAAACGACAGCATATATATTGGTGCTGGACTGTAATCTGAATCTGATGTACCAGTGTAATTGATACTATTGTGATAGGGACCAAAGCCGAATAGTTGGACAAGCGAACAGGTGGCCTCTAGTAGATCCTTGCAGTCGTTTCTAGTGATCGTTGCAAGCTGAAATCCATTGAATCTTCTTTCTCAGTTATAGCTACGCAATCTTTTCCGCGCTGGAGAAGTGCACTCCATTCTGGGACGTGACAAGATGGTTTTTTTTCACAAATGCTTTCAAAAATTACCAATTCTAACAATGGGTCGGTAATCTGACATATGCTGCAACCCTAATTTCTCATTCGATCGAGACTTACGCGATTGCATTCACAGAAATCCTCGTCGCACTTCTCTTGTCCAAGCTGTAAAGCATAGCAGTCGTCATGTACAACACAGCAATGATTTACTGGCACTGAAAAAAAATAGTTGTGCAGATACAAAAACTGCGGTCATGTGGGAACAAACAGTTGCGCTGTTACTGGTGAATGAACAGAAAAAAAGTGTATTTCCCATACTTATACGAGTTATTGTACAAGGTGTTTCAAGTTTTTGTACATATGGTTCCAGGTCTCGCTTAAAAATATGTGTACATGGCATGTATGGCCATCATGAAGAGAAGCTTCCATACTAACTTCTGCACCAGAGTTTGCAGATATTCGCGCTTTGCCATGCAATTTGTGGAAGTGCACATCGTGATTCTAGCTTTGAAGGAGTCTTGAATAAGCTTTAGAGGTCAAGTTTCTGGTATTGTTCCAAATCATAAAAGCTACTTCAGTGAGGGGATAACCGAGAAAGCCCTCTTCCGCCTTCCAGAAAATGGGGGCTACCAATGAACGGACCGAGGACAATAGTAAGAAAAGATTATGTGAAAGATAGCTAGAGACTCATGGGTGATGTAAGAGGCGCGATTTTTGTTGCCACATGGACATAGAAGCTCATTTTTGAGGTATAATCACCTTCTAGAACCTTTCAAATTTCTGAGGAAATCTAAAAGGTGGTAGTGGTAATTTTCCAGATTTTGCTACCAAAAGCCGTCAAATCAAAAGTGGGAAC